AAGTGGAAGCTAAAGCTCTAACAGTAACAGTTGTATATTGTAAAGGCTATTTCTATCCTATTTTATTTGTTCTTCTGTCTTCGTATTACGTGCCCTGTATATAAGACATCCTAGTTATTTGATTTTCTATCTCTCATTTTACTCTTTGACCTATTCCTCTTTGTTAAATTGTTAAAAGAAAAATCTATTCAGTCTATCTATTTTCTCTTTTTTTTTCTTTTTTTTCTACCGTCGTTCTAGATGTCATCGGCAATTTGGTATTATTAACATAGTGTAGCACCGGGCTCAGGAGGATCAATGAAGAAGTGTCGGCGAAAAACTTCGTCAATAATTGACGACGAACGAGGCGGGACGGCGCCGAAAGCTTACGGGGCGGTCCCCGCGGGGAAGAATTTTTGAAAGCTTGACGAGGTATGGGGCGATGACGAGGCAAGAACTGCACGAAGTGAAGCGCGCGGAGCAGCAAAAAACAGTCCATCGCCCATCCCTGCTAGGTGTGCACCAGTTATTTCTGACTGTGTTTTGGAACATTTAGGAAATTTATTATAACACGGTTACTAAGAATCGTCTTGTTCATATCATCGACAGAAAAATAAAGCTCATTTAGAATCGTGGCAAAGTGCTTTTTCCTATTCAGCATAATCAATAACCCAATAGATTTTCTATTTTTGGCAAGAAACAGCGTCAAAAGTTTAAGAAATCACGGTGATATGAGAGAAATGTTCAGTCTATCCGTTTGCACCGGATTAATTTTCAAAATCAATTTTCTTGGGAGAGTAAAATGCTCTTAGATGACGTTTGCAGGTTGCATTTGATGCAGTTTTACAATAGATTTTAGTAAAGGATATTTTAGAAAAAAAGAAACAAAATCAATTTATTCATTACTATACAAAATATAATCTAATATGTAAGTAGTGTTAGACATAGTTTAATCAGACATAGATTCGAACAAATGCTTCAATGTGCTGTCGACAAATGGGACACGAACGAAGCGAGTGTCCGCAGGGAACACATAAAGACAGGTGACCGCAAGGTATACATGCAATACGTTTTTCATCCGTTAAACATACTACACAAACATTTGAGTCCTTTGATGTGGGTTGTAGTTGCTTTGATTTCTCTTCTAAATAAAACAATAAATAGTTTGAGAATGAGCACAGAAAATGGACTTGATAATCTATTACCATGTACTCGATTATCGTCTGCTATGGTACTATCACAATTGCCTTTGTTTGTGCTTACCAACGTTCTCTGTTCTACAAAAAGAAATAAAAAATATGTGATATAATTATGAGTCATGATCATTGATAATAAATCATCCAGCTAACCTTGCTCGTATCTATACGTTATTTCTTGTAGTTTTTTGGATGGAATAATGATATTCTCTTTTTTACCATCGATAATTTCAATCTGCTTTTGCAAAATTAAACATGCCATATGCAGATCACTGTCACTCGAAAAATCGTCAACTAAATTAAAAATGAAATATAGGATTACTATGCGTTTATTAATATTAAACGTACATACGTTTTATTCTTAGTTGATCTTCATAACAATGTTTTATTATCGATAGTTGAAATTTATTCAACAGATTTTGTGTAACGGGTAAATCTAATCTTGCAGCTACTAATCGGGACAGAGCACTTTTATCTGGACCTTGTGACTGGGAATTAGTATTTGACGAATTGTTAAGTGTTCTTAAATTCTGTTGATGTTGATCTAAATGTATGAATGGAAAATTTGATAAAATACTAGTGACACTTTCTGTCAATGGAGAAAACACGAACCTTGATGTAGGACTCGTTTCCATTGTTGAATTTTTCTATACAACTCATCGCCACACAATTGCTTGACATACCCACAAGATGGAAACCATCGTGCATGTGCAATGGCTGGCTTGTCGTTCTTCTTCCAATTTTTTAATGATCCATTGCAGTAAAAACAGGTAATAATCGATTCTGTACCAGAATAGAAGAAACCTGCTTTCACTACATCATCTATGGGTGGCAATGGTTGTTCTTTATCCCATTGCGAAAATGTTGCAAGACGCTTTGAAAGATCAGTGTATTGCTCATTACATGCTTTAGTTGGCACAATTTCATTGTTGAATGTTGGTGTTAAATTTCTATTAAGAATGACTCGAGATTCTACATTAGTCGAAGATAAATTTGATTTGACGAAGAGACAATTGGGTGAGAGAATCGAATGAATTTCAGCTGGATCATCAGTTGGTATCCAATGTTGACATAACAAATTGCAATAGATGCATATCACTCGATCTGCAATATTACAATTGAAAAATCCACTCTCAATCATTTGTATCTTCGATGGCTGTTTCAAAGACCAGTGAGAAAATGTACGCGTTCTAATATCATTAATATTGGATATTTCACAAAAATTTTGTCCTCGATTACTTATAACTTGTTTACCATTTTTGCTTCGTTTAATGTCCACTTGATTCAATGTTTCAGTTATTGATCGCTTACGGTCAGATGCCATCAATATTCACTTGTGTTTCAATAGCGTGCGTATGTTTTCTATGACGTTAGCAAACAAGTATCTCTGATATTTTCTCTGCGAAAAATTTCAGTACGTATGCAAAATAACGTAATTTGTTAGAACAATATACGATAGAATGGTAAGTTGTAAATAGAAATACGTTATTTCAGCAGATAATGGGAAGATTTTTTATTCTATGCGATTTCTTAATCGTTTGTCACTATTAGATAAGTATGTGTTTTTGTTTGTCTATTTTCTTTCAAGATAATTTAAATCTGGTCATAGAAATATAAATACTCACAGTTTAACTGTTTGAAACAACAAGAAAGTTATGCGGTTATATACTAAATTATTTAGCGTTCTACTTGTTAATATCCAATAACACAAAAATATCCCTCTGTATGTGTAAATAACCTTTATAATACATTAGTCATTTATGGTATAATCACTCTGTTCTTTCTTTTTTTCCATTTAGAAGAAAAGAAAGTATGAGTGAGTCATCAAACACAATGAAAGAAAAGAATATATAAAAACAGCAACATGTTTGTTACATTCAATATACTTTCGTAGAATCGCTTTGAAAAGTGAAAGTCATTAAGACAAGGGCTCCTCACCCGTTTTTTGTCACCAGTTTGTAGAGGAAACTTCAGCGTATATCTTTCAAATTTATTTTGTCAGTTTGCTAACCTGCAGTTTTTATTTAAGTTTTTCTCCGAATTTTTAAAATTTCAATTAAAACTTCAGTTTTAGATATGACGAGTTGATTCTAGCGTAGTTCAATCGAGGACATATAATTGTATATGGAAAAGTATTTTCTTCGCTTCCAAATTAACTTTGAGACGGAAATTTAACTTTTACCTTATCGGAGCTCTAAAAGTACTTTGGAAAAATCTTATGGTTAATTTCGCTCGAAGCATTCAAAAGCAAACTCTGGGAACAAAATTGTTTAGAACTGGGTTGCGCAGTCCCTCATGAGAGTCTTCTCAGGAATTTTTCTAACTTCACAAAAAGGTAAATACACAGAAGCATTTCTGGTCATTTTCACTCAAAATCATATTGAGCCATTTTCTAGCAGAAACCGTTTCTCGTCCTTTTTTTCTAGTTTCTCGTTTTTTTTCCCTGGTATTGAATTTTTAATAATCTGCTAGGACAGTTGTCTACCATACGATCTCGGGACAGGAGAACTTCACTGAAAGTAGTGAGTATTAATGTCCAAAACAAATAATCTAAAATAACCAAGCGCATAGAGAGTTTAAATGATAAGCACATGATTTTATGTAGAAGATATTTCAGGTTAATTCGACATAAACTTTTGTTCGTTGCATTTATTTCTCATATATCGATATACTGTTCGTATATTTTTTTTATAATCGATAATCCACGGATGTGTATCAGGTACGGATCGAAATCCTAATTTCAAAGCTTTTGTGTATGATTCAATTGCTTTATCATAATAACCATTAGTAAACTGAATCTGTTCTATATTATTATAGACTACTGATAAATCCAATGGATTGATTTCGTTTTCTTCTGAATCAAAAACTTTTTGATAATATTCTAGTGCTTTTTCATTATTGTAATTTGTTTGATACGTGTAATCCATATTAATATAAACTTTAAGTTTTGATATTTGATTACCAGGCAGTGATTTTAACATAAATTCATCTTTCGAACTATTTACTAGATTTTTTTTACAATTGATTGCATACTGATTTGTACGAATTATTGTTAAAACTTGTTGACTATTTGATAAAGAAAAACATTGTTCAGCTATTTTCAAGTATTCTTGTGCAACTGGAACATCAGGTTTTTCAAATCGAATAACAGCAAGACTATTGTAAAATCAAACCTTTTCTTTTATTATCTTTATCATTCAGTGGCAATGATGGTAATTCATCCAACATTCGTCGGTAATCATATTTAAAGCTAAATTAAAGCTAAACCTAGCTCAAGTAAAAAATTACCTAATGTCATAAATGTACACGCTGATTCATTATTTAATCGATTTTTTAATTGATTCATTAAATGAATGGATTCGAAATCATTATCACTACCCAATTTCAATTTAATTTTTACATTACTATCGTCATGAGAGACAGATTCAATGTGCCAGATCGTAACAGATGAAAATAATACCTCAAATCCGTCTTTTATCTTACTTAAGTGAGCTATATCAGCAAGTGGTTTTGTGCAAATATTTATAGTACTAAGATCTAATTCAAATACAACTGATTCATAACCTGGACGTATGCAACCTTCACCAGCAAACATGAGTGCAACAGATTCACTTCGTGTTGCTGATAAAACACCATTCATTGATATAAGATCATTCTGATTATCAATGAGTCTATATAACGTATTCACAGGTAACATTCTTCCACGATAGGCTTTTTCGATCGGCTTTTTTTCAGCTTTCATATATTCAATACGTAACTGTCTTTGTATGTCAGTTATCATTAGACGAAAAGGGTAAATACGTTGTATATTTTCTGTTCGAAATGCTTGATTTAAAAGACGAAAGAAAACAGTATTAAGAGTATACCGGACAATAGCTTCGTGTGACCTGCAGCATTCTTCAAATTCCTTAATCTTATCGAAACATATTTGTTTATCTATGTCACGTGCTCGACATTCATTTACCATATCCTGTTTTGCATCATCTTTATGTTCAAGACGCATTAAAATTTCAATCAGTGCCTGAAACCAGACGAATACAATCGATTCTTTAGTTAAATTACGAATAGATGTTTCTTTAACAATCGAATTAAATAGATTTATTGATGGCAGTGTTTGTGTAAAAATTTATCATCATAAACATCGTCATGCGCTTTCCACACCCCATAATCTTGAATATCGCTTCATACTTTAGTCAATAAATCGTTCATATTGTCAAATAGATTCTGATTAACTTTCGAATACTGACAATAAATTTGATAATCATTAATATTTGTTAAACAATGAAAATAGATGGTAAGAAATTCTTCACGTTTAACAGCAATTCTAGTTAAATATTCAGTTAATCGGCTTGAAATAATAAATACAAATTTTGAAATTCTGTTCGAGTAAATATAGGCGATCAGTTCAGCAGGATCATTAAACATTTTTGAATAATCAAAGATTTTATTCAGACAATTTTCCATTTGACTGATTTCTTTTGGATCAATACTATCATCATAAAACCAAATGCCAACAAAATTGTGTACTTTTTTCTCGCTTTATAATAATAAGTCAGGCAGATTTGATCTTAAAACATCAAGAGAACATAAACAAAATGCGTATAAAGTCTCAAAACTTTTTTTATAACTTACCTCAGTGTAACTGTTCCGAAAGAATCTTCAACTTTTAACTGATCCATTTGTCCTTGACATGAAAGTACCATCGCTGTTCGGTCATAGTCTGCACGAGACGGTTTATTATTACTTTTGTTCGATCTATCAAAACAACCGAAAAAGGATAATCTCAAGTAGACTCGTCAGCATTCATCGAAGGAACAGCACTTCTAAGCGATCTAGATGCAGAAGAGGTGGTAGAAAATCCCTCACGAGAAACATATCGAACTGCCCGACTCCGTTTTCCTTCATTCATACATCGATCGATAGAGGGTATCGAGCTAGTAGACTCTTGAAGACCCGGTTTTTAAAACAACTCTAAAAAATAACCCAAACCTTCTTTTAATGAGAGATGATTGTAGCCCGCAAATTTCTGATTAAAATGAGACATCTCCCAGCTCTACACAACCTTTCTTTGCAAAGTTATAGAATTTACAAGAAAAGCCCTAAATGTTCGTTGCAAGCTCAAAGCTACAGAAATAAGAAGAAATTAATTTAGGACTTTTCTTATAAATTCTATAATTTTGCAAAGAAAAGTCGTGTAAAGCTAGGAGATGTCTCATTTTAATCAGACATTGGTGGGCTACAATCATGACTCATTAAGAAAAGGTTTCGATTATCTTTTAGAGTTTCTGAAGAACTGATTTTTCAGAAAATCGGGTCTTCAATAGCTGTCCGCAGATATCCTTTTAGACTTTTTACTAGCTCGATACTCTCTATCGATTGGCATATGAATGAACGAAATTGGAAGGGGACACCGGAGAGCATTCCCTCGTCAGACCCTGGCAGAACCAGAAATGGAATTCTGCCATAAATCAGCAAGAATCTGGCAGAACTCCAGCAAAATTGACCACGAGGCGTATATGAAACTTGTGGTAACTAATTGTGTTACATTCCTAGACAGAGAGTTTTGCATAATCCGTTGATATAACTTGCAAATAATCTTCGTTGTACATTCATATTACAATTAAAGTTAATTGAATAACTAACTACAGCACGTTTGTCTAGCTACACCATTTTATGGTGACATGTTTGAAGTTGCATGAGCGAAAAAAAGACAAAGAAAAAAAGATTGTTTTTGATGATAATGATTTTTGAAACTTCAGAGCCGCATAACTCAGGAAAGAATATTTTAGACCATCATATTTTTTTTTTATGCATAAGTCATCATGCTTTGCGACATAAGTAAAAATAAGCTCCATTTGAGATTTTTACCATGATCCCTGTCTGATTTTATTTAAAAAGTTCATTCTTAACAAAGAAAAACAGAGAATCAAACGGAACAAGAAGTTAGTCTAGAAAGTTTTGTTTTAGGAACTGACTATGGATATATTAGGTTTACTTAAAGCAGTTTTCAACACAATATTACTCTATACAGTTACCGCTTTGGCTCCTATGACACCTGGAACAGTGATATGGAAGTTATTCAAAACAAGGAAAGGAAAAGTCAGACTTATAAACAGAGATTTAATATGTGATACTGAAACATTGCTTAAGCTTCCTAGTACGGGAAGATCATTGGATCAATCAACAAATTCATTGGTTCCTTTTGTTCCATTATTCACTCTCGATTATAATACACAATGGAAACGACGACACAATGCATTCGTCCATGCGAATAACAAAATCCTTGCACGTATTACAGAAAAAAATATGAACGTAACATTACCGGGTAAACAAGGAAATATTTTCTGGGATCTATGTGAAATTATGTTTAAAATTGCCTTTGAGTTGGTCTTTGACAGACCTCCTACAGTAGATGAATTTAATGACATATATCCTGGAGTAGTAGACGTAAATAAAGTCATTAAAAGGTTCTCATGGACTGCGAATTTACCGATACGTCAGAAACTATATGATCGCATCATTACATTAATGAAAGAAAGTGATACGAACTTTGTACTTCACGATCACAAAGGTTTTCCAGAATTAAGTGACCTAGACAAAGTTTCGCTAGTAGGTGAAGATCTTATCACAACTATTTCAATCCAGTGTAGCGATTTACTCTGTCATTTGCTTCTCTTGTATCCAAAATATCATGACGCTTTTAAAGCTAATCTGGATAACTGCATCAATGAGACACTTCGTTTATATCCCCTTAGCGATTTGTGGATTATGCAACCGTTTAAGCAAGAGAGAGGATGGATAACTTCATTAGTACAACTGAATCGAAATGGATGGTCAGATCCGGATACCTTTCTGCCGGAGCGGTGGGATTCTAAAGAGCATCCGCCTTTAATGTCATGGGGGTTTGATGTGAGACGGTGTCCAGCTCAAAAAATGGCCACCAATATTGTCAAGCTGGTCTTTGAGAATATTATCAACACAGAAGGCTTCTGGATTCAGCCCGCATTGAATTTCGACCATGGAAGATCTTTTCCATTTGGTTGTCAAGCATGGGTTGGATATGGTCAACAACCAGACAATGCTGCTACGTGGAAGTTTAATCACAAATTCAAGATGCAGTTTAATAGATGGGTTTTTGACCGACTGAGAATGTTTGATCAAAATGAATTAGTCTAAATGGAAACACTATGTATGTGTAGCAAGTGAGAAATTAAAAAGCTGTCACTTGTATATGAATCTGGTAAAGTTGTTACGGTTGTATAAATATATTTTCTCTTTTTCTTCAAACTTCATTGGTGTTTAACTCAAATAAAGTTGAATTGAACTGCTGATGATGCATAGTGTGGAATTAGACTACTATTAGAGATTGTTTAAGTTTTTTCTGTGGTTCTGAATTTGTATCTGAATTGTTATCAATGGATGAATTATTACCGTCATCAGATGTTGTTGTTGCTGCTTTATTATTATTTTTATTGTGTGATCTTAATGTCATAGCTGATAGAAGGTTCTGTTTAGAAAATCTTTGTCTCCTTACTCCTGCTGCCACTGGCAGCAAGAAAGAGGGTTTAGCAACTTCGTCAACCAAATCCTTTTTTGCTAAACCATAATCAATATCGTTTAAGTCATCATAATCTCTTGGATGACGTGATAAGAAGTCGGGACGATAATTTTCTCTACCTTTACGATCTACTTTGACATTTCTAACTGTTCTTTCTAATATATTCCACAAAGGACAATGGTCTGTCATGATGATGATACTTCTTCCTAATATGAATGATCGCATACCTGCAAAACATTTATAAATGGCAAGTGCTTCTTGTTCAATGGTACTATATCGTCGTTCACAAGCTGTCATTAATTGGGAATGATAACATAAATTACGTAATTCACCATTAACTTCTTGTTGTAAAACTCCACCTATATCTATTTTACTTGCATTTGTTGTTAATATCAATGTTTTATCCTGTACTGGAACATTAAGAAACAATGGTTTCTGTAATTAATAGTTGTTTTAACTCATTGAATGCTGTTGTTTGTGATTCTTTCCAGTTGAATTTGTGTCGATTTGTCTTTGTTAAATTTGTTACAGCATGAATGGGAGCTGCAGTAGTGGAGAAATGAAGCAAGAATTTTCTGTACTAGCTTAAAGTACCAACAAATTTATTTGCCTGGATCAATGTTTTGAGTTTTTCGACTTCGAGTATAGCTTTTATTCTTTCATCCGTTAGTGTTACAGTGTTTCTGGTTATTGTATGCCCAAGATAATTGATTTTTTGCACGGCCAATTCACACTTCGGTGGATTGAGAACAATGTTTTTATCTCATAATGCTGTAAATACGTCATTTAGATGATTTATATGTTCTTCGAATGATAAGGAAAAGACTATTATATCATCTAAGTACACCAGACAAAATGCCCGACATGATTTGACTATATTTGTCATCACCTTTTGAAACGTAGGAGGTAAATTTTTCAATCCCATTGATAAGACATTAAATTGATAATGGCCAAATGGGGTCACAAATGCCGTCTTCTCCTTGCCCTCCTTATTGACAGGGATTTGATAAAATCTGCTTTTTCGGTCGAGCTTCGAAAAATAATTATATCCTTTGCTTAGTTTTCTTATTGTATCTTCCATATTAGGCAAAGGAGAAGAGTCTTTTATTGTAATTAAATTCAGTTGCATATAGTCAATAACTAAACGATGTTTGCCATCCTTTTTGTTGATTAATAAAGCAGGCGCGGCGTATGGTGACACTGATTCAGATATTAATCCTGCTTTAAGAAATTCATTGATTATTTTATACATGGACTCTTCGTTGTTCGGTTGTCGATAAGGACTGCATGCTGGTGGTGAGTGTGGTATTCTATTTATAACGTGATTTATAGGTGTATTTGCTATATTATGCATCATGGTGTCAAATGTTTTATGAAAACGATATAAAAGTGATAAAAGGTCATTTTGTTATTTTTCCTTTTCTAATTTACTGAATAAAACACGTTTACAACCGTCGGATTTATCTTTTGTATTGCATTACAAGATGTTATTTGATAATTTTGATCGTTATTATTAGTTGTTACTAGTAACTGGTCACTGGCGGCACTAAGGCCACTAGTTTGATCATTGTTATTAGTTATTACTGATAACACGCCACATGTGGCTGCATCAAGATAACTAATTTGGTCTGGATTAGTATTTCTGCTGGCTTCGATACACGACTGAATTTCGGGTGATGAAATTTGATGATTGGTATTGTTGTTGTTATTGATCATTACTAGTGTCTCGCCACTGGCAGCACCAAGATGGTCAATGTGTTTGAATTGGCAACATTTGCGTGAATGATGATTTGGACTGGGATAGCAGATAATATAATCAATACAATTGCCTTTACTAATGAATTTTGGCTATGGTGAATTGTTGGATAAAGTTATAAACGATGAATATGAATTAGAAGTGAGAAGTGTGTGTGTCAAACATACCGATGTGTTTGAACGTGAATTAGGAACGAAAGGTGCAGTAATAGGCGACACAGGAATAACTGCAGAACAGTTCGAATTCGGGGAAATATTTATTGACTTAGACAATGAAACGGGGAAAATTTCAGGTTTGTCCTCCTTGTCGATGTTGTGCATATATTTTTTCTTACTATGTTCAATTTGAATTGTCTGATCTTTGATATTGATGGTCATATTGTAACGATTTATATGATCCATTCCAAGAATAACATCAGTACAGAGACTTTTAGCTACATAGATATTAATTTTTGTAAACTATGTACTGATTTTTATTGATAGTTCTACAAGTCCTCATACATGGAATGGTGCTGCCCCATCTGCGAGAACAAGTGAATGAGAATTTTTATGCATATATTTATGATATTTTGTTGCTTTTAATGATTTTTCATTGATAAAAGTTGTTGTAGCTCCAGTGTCTAATAAAATTCGCATTTATGATGATTAACTAGTGTGGTGATGACGATGAGAGAGGTTTTGAATGGGTTTTGTTTTATTTTACCGGAAACATCACCACCACTTGATATCTCGGCTACTAAAAATGTGGAGGTCTTGAGCAAGCCGACGCTGTATGTTTATGACATCCGCAACGATCACATGTAGGAACTAATGATGATGATTGATCATGTATAGCAGCAACTCTTTGTTGTGATCGTGATTGATTATTATCATTGTATTGTTGATTAGTACATTGTTGATTATTATTTAGTCTGTTATAATTTTGTCGAAAAGTTGACTGCCGATAATTCTGTCGTTGATTATCAGTTTATTGATTAAAACGTGGTGTATTGAATCTTGATTGACTACTATTTGACGGATTATATGATGAGTTCCATTGATTAAAACGAAACCTAGGATTATTACCAGAAAATGAGGATAGAAATGGAACAGAATACCGTTGTGTGATTGAAATGACGACAACCAAGGATGTTGTGGTCGTTGTAAATTACTTATTTCATTAGTATTATAAAATTTTCTTTGATGTGGAGGTGAATTATTTATATTAGATGAAAGTGCTGCAGCAAAAGGACAATGTAGCTGTAGTGGTAGTTGTGGTGATAGTTTGATTTGTAGTATTTGGTTTTAATTTACTACTTGATAATTCATATAATACTTCAATTTCTCTCGCATATTCGAAAAATTGTGATGGTCTTTTAGGCTTCTTTTTACTAACTTCAAATTTTAAACTTGGTTCATTTTAGATAATAAATATTTAAGTTTTGTTGCATCACTCATGGTACTATCAGTTCCTCTGAAAATTTTATTCATTTCTGTATAATAATTACGTATTGTTTGTTTTTGTCCTTGACTATATCATAAAAGTTTATTAAAAGATAATTCAGCTTGATACGATGCTGTGAATGCCTTTTTAATTTCATCAACAAAACTTTTCCATGATGTTATTTTAGCTTTGTTATCATTAAACCATTGTTTTGCTTCTGCTTTTAGCTGATACGATATTATAATCATGTTTAGCGGACAAAATTAATCATATCCTGAGGCTCTGAACCGCTTCTGATATTTTTTGAGTGAGTTATGAATTTTCAATATTAGGTGAAAACTGCCCGAAAACCCTACTTGTCATAAAGCTCTCTTTTCGGTAGATTTTTAAAACTTTTTCTAAAAACAAATATTACCACAAGACTCAGCATGATCGATTACCTATAGTCCAATCGTTTCCAAGGCTACCAATAAGCACTGGGTGTCAGTTCAGAGACTCGCAGGAAATCCGACACAAGGCCTGTTTCAAAACAATCTTTTGAAAACGTTTTGGCTATGGAAACATGTCCTCAGGTCTTCTCCTTCGAATGGTGAAAACCGAAGCTCTCTAGCTGCTCTTCCCCCCAAGAAAAACAAAAATTTAAAAAAGGGCTCTGTCAAGCCCTAGAGGTGAATGTCCTCTGTCAAACAAAACAAAAATAATTGTCTACGATGAAGCCAACGAAAATTCTTATAAAAAAACATTCTTATATTCTTTATAGAGGTTCCTCGAGAAATTTCCAACTTTTTAAGAAATGTTGATTTTCTCTTTTATATAAAATCGACTTGAATTTCCATTTAAAGGTTTTTGGGTATTAAACTTGAACATTTCGCCGCTTAAGCCTACAGTGGGTCTAAAAATTGTTCGTTACGTCTATTTTTCATTTTTCTCGTCATCGATAATGGCTAGAGAAAATTTGAAAAAAGGTTTGAACATCTGAAAGACTTTGCGATCTGACGTGCTGCACAGAAGGGTTCTAACAAAACTCTTGAAACCAAGATCTCTGAAAAACCAAAATCGCAGATAAGCAAGTCCCTGAGTTCAATCCAGAAAGTCTTTGCTTTTTAAAAATATCATCTCTATCCATATCATGAGTTGTAACATTTTGTCGTTTTAAATATCTTCGAAATACCCATTCAGCAATATATTCATATAGTTCTGTCATCGTCAGTATTTTCGTGTCTGACCAATGTCTGTCACCCCAAACACTACAAATCATTTCCAAATGTATCGGAATATGTGCAATACCACAAATACTTGGATTCATCTTCAAGAAGCTGCGTAGTTTTTCGCTTTCATTTGAGATGTATTCGGGTTCGTTTTGGATCAAATGGAAGAATTTTTGTAAATAATTAGCAATATTATCATCTGTAAAGCCTGTTATTTCCATTTGCACATCATATGATAAGACGTTTCGATATGGTCGTGATGTTACGATATGATGTGTAGTTTTGAATAAGTAGTCCAATAAATGCTCTAAATGTGAAGGAATACTATCCACGATTTCATCGTAACCATCCAACAACCATAAAACAGGGGTTTCAGAAAGCTGATGCTTTAAAAGGTGTTTGTCTTCATCTGATAAATTGTAGTATGATAAATATTCTGTCTGTAGTAAGTCGATCAGACAATAGGAACCAGTTGATAATTTAGGATATCGATTTTCAGTTAAGTGACGCAAAGGAATCAGAACAACTAACTTATATTGTGACCAAAGGGCAAGAGTTGCCCGTTGATGAGCAACATATTTACAAAATGTTGATTTTCCGATTCCCGCTCTTCCGAACACAAGTACTTTTTTTATCTGATCCTTACAAGTTTTGAACATGTCTTTAACATCAAGTGGAATCTTTGTGCCGTAGATATCTTCAAAGGTAGCCACGCTAGCGTCACTTTCATAAGTGCCACGAAGTTTCTTTTCTTTCTCAACTTATTCTTTACTTTCTATTATTGCCAAATTAATGTAAGTCTGTTCAATAGGAAAAGATTTGGCTGGATTCATAATACATTCAATACAATTATTTTGTATGTATTCGTATCTAATTAATTCAAATCAATAACTTGGTCCACCATCGTCTTTTAATGGTGAATATTGTGATTTTTCTATTAGATCAATTAACTGGCTCATTTTTAATTACTATTTCGAGCTCTGCCATTATGGTTTTCAACCAATCAAGTGGCTTCCAAACTTCCATATCATCGAGTATGCAAAGAATTATTCTTTTGTGTCGTTTATGTGCATACTGCAGTTCGAATTTACACTCTTCCGATTTCTCATAATTTGAACTCACAAAACAGCAAATGATAGCAGCATTTTCTACGCCTCCAGCCAAACTGAATAAAAGAACGATCCATTTATGTCAACTGTAGACAGACAGATCATATAAAAATTCATACCTTTTATATATATCATGATTTGGATTTTTGTGGTTATTGAACCAAACTGAAATATATTTTTCTCGAATCTCACAAATTTTGCATTCGATAGCTTCATCATCTCCATTATAAGATAGCATGACGTGTTTTCTTTGTGGAATCATGGTGCTAAAATATATGTAATCAGTGCTGCAGAACATTTCAGCTTTAAATAAGACATGGAAAAAAGTTCGCGTCATTTTTCCTATCGATGTATTTTTGCAACTGTTTGAGCAATTCAGTCAATAAATAGTCATTTGAAAGAGCACTTAAAAGTGCACTTATGATGTAAAAACAACGGTTCTAACTCTAGTGGTAAGATGGATATAGATGTGAGAATATCATCCACGAATTTCGGAGTTGAACTTTTATACATTTAAAATTACAAAACCACAAATTTTTTTTGTGTGACGAAAGAATTCTTCCTCTACAATATGTGTTAATACGAAACTTAACAAAGAGGGGCGACAGGTTTTATGAGCTGAATACTAGACTTTTCCACCGGTCGTGGCTAAAACAGAGGAACTGTTTGTCGCTTTTTTCTATGAAACTAAAGGGGATCTCTACTCGTTCATATATCATTCGATGCGCCTTAAGAAGCTGTACAATATGTGTTAATAAAAAACTTAACGAAGTGGGGCAACAGGTTTTATGAGCTGAATACTAGACCTTTCCAAAGATGAAGGATGAACCCCCGTCCCGTACCCAAGCAGACAAACATTTGGAAAAACGCGTTTAAACGCTCAAAACGGAACCGCGATTGTGAGTCAGTAACGCTCATTAAAAAAACGCAAGAAACGCGTTTTTTGCGCAAAATTTTCACTTTCAGACCGTGAAAACGGCGAAAA